ATAAAATGCATAACATATGAGGCCTTGAGCAACCTCAGCTTGCCCCTGCATATGTTAGCACTGGTAACCCCCACCCCCACCATGCTCCGCCCCTTCCCCCCATGCCAGTAGCAACTTTCACTGAATCACTACTTGATTTAAGCTTTCAGTAAATAACGCAGCCTTGGTAGGAAGCCCCCTGGACAGATGGGCCCATGGCAGGAGTTATAAGGCAAAAGAACTAAAACTGTCACTGGGTCAGAAGGTCTGTCACCAGTTCTGGGTTAGGCCACCTGCCACCACAAATGCAAACAAAAACTGGGCTATTCTAACCCACAGGGTAGAAGGGGGAAGGGCGAGTTAGTAGGGCAGAGGGAGAAGGCACAATACCACGATGGTGGGAAGTAAAGCCGCTGTTACAGGAACCTGAATGCTGTGACTGGGCCTGCTGTGTCTGGAGCCAGCTCTGGGTCATAGGGAAAGGGTGGAAGAGGGGAACAAAGTCTTACCAAGGCCTGCCATTACCTGGGCTGCTTGGGACTGCCTTGGCCTGCTGCTGCTTGATTCCAGGGTGCGTTCCTCACTCCCTGGGTGGGGTGAAGGCCTACGGCCCACTGGCTAGTAGGACAGCTGCTGTTCACATCTGTGAGAAGACTAAGAGAGCAAGCCCGCATGTAACCCTCTCTGTAATGGCTCCCATAAAGGCCACTCAGTGCCACCTTCTTCCCAGCAGCCCTCTCACTCAGGAAGTCAGGGGCAGGGGTGGAGCTCAGACCAGAGCCTGTGGTACTCCACAGGTGGAGGCTCCTCTGGCCTGGGAAGTGTCTGGATGTCAGGGACAGCGTTCTGTGTTGATTGCCTCCTTCCCTCACCCCCATCTGCAAGGTTCAGCTCCATGGAAAAGTCCAACATAGGGACCCCAAACCTTTTCTTCACTAGAAATAAAGTTTCAGTGATAGTGCTGGGACACAAACTAAACTATCCCATACCCTCTCTGGACTCTTCTGGGGCAGGAGAAATAATATGCTGTGTTATTTCTCAAAACAGCATCAGCTCACTCAGTTAATGAAAGAAAAACAATCAATAGAATGCATAAGATTCATATGGCTGTAAATTCTAAAGACTAAGAAACAGGCCAAGCGTATTTATATTTATTATAAATTATATTAGATATATGTTTTAGGACCTGAGGTATTGAGGACAGAGGGGGGAGACTGTGTGACAGAAGAGGAGTGGTTGACCATGTCCTTACCACATCCTTACTGAAAGTAAAGATGAGAGAGAACATGATAAAGCTAGATAAAGCTACTGATAAAGCTAGAGCTGAGTGTGACCCTCCAAACTAAATTCTCGTAAGTCATAGAAGGGACAGCAATAATTGTTTCTTCAATTAAGAAAAGGGCAGAAGCTTAGGATATATTGATCTCTTCTTTGGTTAGGTAGGGGCAAATGACTTGAGCAAGAACATTTCTTTTTTGTTGTTAAAGATTTATTTATTTATGCATACAGAAATGGGGTACAGGACAGAGGTGCAGGGACAGCGAGAGGATTCACCAGAGACAGCAGGGACAGAATGGACAGATTGACAAAGTACACTGCTGAGGGGAGCAGTGGGAAGGTCAGGAGAGGTCTGCTGTGCCATGTGGGTCACCTCTGGGTGGGGGATCAAACTGGCACTGAAGTGGCCACGACTTGGCTTAGCTTCACAGTGCAGGGCTCCAACCCACTGCACCCCCGAGCAAGAACACTTCTAGCCCACACTGCTCTCAGCCTAAAACAATCTGCATTCTTTAGGTAATAGTGATAGATCTCCTGGGGTTCACAGAGCTTTGATTGACTTGTAGTTTTCTTACCAAGATGACAAGAGACTTACTTTGGGCCTATTGAAAAATGTCTCTCTGACCTTTGGGGTACGTGTGTGCGGGAGGCAGGGGCTTTGATTACACACCATCTTTAGCTAAAGACAAAATAAATAGGTGGGGAAGGAGGAGCCAATTATGGAAACTTATTAGGAAAAGAACACCAAATAAGGATAAGGTGGTAAAGCAAATTTAAGTCTGAGCTAAGTGAATTTAGGAGTCAGATCTCTGGCTATCTCTTAAAAACTTCAGATAACTCCTCCCTGTTGTCTTTTCCTGGGGCCTCACGATTCCTTTATACCCAGGAGTCAGTCTTTGATGCTTGACACCTACGCTCCAGGCTAATCTCAGCATGAACCCAAGTGTTCTAGATGAGATGATACAGGAACAGGTTGGCAGGGCATGGCTCTCTGCTCTTGGTCTTCCTCAGCCCTGCCAATCAGCTCAAATGCTGTATCCCTCACTGTGATCCCACTGCTGCACACTGCTATGCTTTAAGAAAGGACAGAGGCCAACTTTTCAGCTCTACATACTGATCTCCACTGTGAACAGTGACCCAAGTTTTGGATCCTAATAAGGTGAGTAAGAAGGGCTGGCATTGTTGGGGCACAGAAAAAGTCCCCCTGCATCCCTCTGGGTTTTTCTTGGGCTAGGTGAATATAACCAAAATAGTATTTAGATGGGTTAGTGAAGGAAAAACTATGCTTATAATACCATCCCTCTGGAGAATTCAGATCCCCATACATTCTAACAAATAACAGAGTGGCCAGGGATGTTTATCTTGTAGTCGACTTGGGACATTAAGAAAAGAGAGGAGAATTCTGTTTACCACAGGCAAGGGCTGAGGGTCACCTGATTTTTACTCAAAATAAAGATGAGATTCTTAGAGAGGCTATGTCCACTGATAAACCTGCAACTAGATAAGACTCTCCAAACTACATTTCTTCTAGGTATTGCTTCTTTATTAGGGATAATTAAAGGACATACGCAAAGAGAGAAGTTTCTCCTAAATTTGACCACTACTGTTCTCAACCCAAATCCACCTGCACCTTTAAGTGAACTGAGGCTCACATGGTCTTGCTTGACCTGTTGTTCCTCTACCAGGTGACAAGAGGCTTACTCTGGGCATACTAAAAAAGCCTACTTGATCCTTTTGGGGAGACTGACCCCTCAGTGCTGAGAATGCTTAGGGAGGAACACTGTAAGGTACCCAGTGAACTCCTAGATGGGAAAGTGATCCAATTTGTAGGCAGCAAAGACCTAAATTCAACTCAGCATTAATCTCACTGATTATTAAGTGAAATGCCACTACCTGGTTTCATACTCAAATTTCCCGTTGAAGCAGCTGGAATCTGGTCTTGTTATCTTGTGTAAGCCTTTATGGTGAGGAATAAGGGTGCCACAAATGAGGAGGTGTCTGCCCTGTCCTGGGTGTGTGGCCCTCAGTGTCCTCAGAAGTCACCTATGCATCTCATGAGACTCTCACAGGGCTATGAAAGTCTGTTATTAGGTTCACTTGAGGACACAAAAGCTCAGAGTTGAGAATCATATTCAGGGATCCAGAGGGCCAAGGATACTCGCAGGCTACATGAGGACAGAGAGCTGGTTTCAAGGGGAGATGTCCACGGAGTTCTATGCCCAAACCTCTGACCAGAGTGGCTCCTGCGAGGTCAAGTTCAATCTTGGTAACTGATTAATTAGAATGTTATTTTAAAACTGAAGTTCATTTATACAAAGTCTAGAGGGGAGAGAACTTCTAGGTTCTTGGCTGAGACACCCCTGTTTCCTGTTCAAGGACAGGTTAACAGGAAAAAAAGGAAATTTAAGCCCCTAAGGGAAGGATGTAGGGCCTGGGACTTCAAAAAGAAGGACGTCAATTTACAGGAAGATAACAGAGCAAAGGTAGGTGAACAAATGTTTGCTATGCAGAGGCAAAGGGACACAGAGAAGATATTGGACAGGCTCTAAGCTCTCCCCACCTTAATCTAGTGTGCCTAGCTCATATTCTTAGTAGTTATTTTTGGTGCTAGGACCAGATTCCTTATCTAAGTTCTTTCAGGCAGTTAAGGAAGAGGCCAAAGTCTCTTTCAGAATCACTTGGACTTGATTGCCTTAAGTCTGAAATTATCCCAATGCCAAAGTGACACAGCTGGGGAGACCTGTCAAGGACCCCCTATCAATGGCACGCTTAATGACAGATTGTTAGTTAACATTTATCATGACAATAGTTAGGGAGGAAACCTCTGAGAAGGGATTCAGTTCATCAGGGTGATAATGTGGGCTGGATTGTTTGTTTTTTTAAAATTTTTTTTAAAGATTGATTTTTATTTATGCACAGAAGAACTGGGGAATAAGCCAGAGGTACAGGGGGTGGGGTTGAGGTGGGGGGTTTGTGGTGAGAGGATTCACCAGAGACAGAGTGGAGAACAGAACAGACAGCTCAGCTGCACTGAAATACTGAGGGGAGCAGTGGGTAGGACAGGAGAGGTCTGCTGGGCCAAATGGCTCACCTCCAGGGCGGGGATCGAACTCAACTCATGCTGCTTGGCTATAGCTTTTAACCCCTGTGCCATCAAGGAGGCCCCAGGGTGCCACCAGGGAGGCCCACAGACTTGGAAAAGTGTTACAAGGAAGTGTCTTTCTTGCAGAATGCTCAGTTTTCAAGGAGGCAATGCCTTCCTCAACAGAAAATATCTCATCATCTTCAGTCATCTTCTACATTCCTTTAGAAGGTGGCGACCATTTCCACTTCACAGACATGAAACTTTTAATATCATGTTTTGGGACACATATTCTTCTGAGAGTTTATCTGGGTTATAAAACAGAGCTAGCTAGTGGGTGACTGGTTCCCCATTGTGGGAGGGAGAGGGAAAGAGAGCAAGCAGGTGACGTTCGGAAACCTGAAAGTATCCATATTTTAATTTTGTTCTTGTTGCATTCAAAATAAGTCTAGCATATTTTCAGTTCTTACAAATTTTATTATGTAATGAGAGGTCATCTTTTAGTCTAGGAAACAAATAATAAAGTGGGACCCAAGTGCCATATACACTAGCAGGAAAATACATTTCAAGGTCAGGCTGTCAGGCATGTCTCTTAGAGCAGTGTCTAGGTAATGCTTTCCTCCTCTTCCCTCTGGACTTACAGGTGATCCTCACAACAGAGATGCCGCCCTTCCTAAAAGACCTAGGCCCTTTCTTGGCCTTGCTGTTAGCTCTATGTGGACTCCTTGTACACAGCCAGAGCCTCTCCTGGAGACAATTTATGAAACAGCACCACCTGAGCACAAGCCGGGGATTTGAGGAGTACAGATGCACTGATCTCATGAGGGACAAAAAGGTTCCAAAAGACAACCACCACATCTTTGTTTATACCTTATGGCGCAAAATCGAGCATATATGCAATAGGAACTGGAGAGATCGCTACAGAAATGTATATATATGGACCCAGCATCCCTTCAAAATACTCAAGTGTTACCAGAATAAAAATATCTATAGAGAGAGCAGGAGCTACAGCTATATTGAATTCCACTGTGGCATGAGTGGGTATGTTGATAGCATCGAGGACACCCAGTTGTTTAAGAGTATCAGAAAATAGAAAGTCTGCACACATTCCTAGATTTCAGTAGAGTGCTCACTGCTTACCAAGGGGTGGCCCTTCCACATCTTAGCTACTTTGCACATTTGTGCCACTTCCTAGAGTTACGGCTTGCATGGTTGCTGGATAGCATAACTTGCCTATGTTGTTTTTCTATCTGGATCTCCTCTGTTCTTCATCAATCTGATTCACTCCTGCATTTTCTCCCCTTCATTTCATTTCTACATTTTCTTTTTTTTTTAGCTCATATGACATTTCTTATTGACTGAGTCAGAAATTTTTCTGATATGGTCTCTCCTTTCACCTACCCAAGCTTCATGATTTTCCCTTCTCTAAATAAATGATCACTCCAATAAGTGTGTGACATTTGTATCTATTGTGTATACAGGGTATGTGCTGTGTAGTTGGTATAGGGGATATGATTTGGGGTGTGTGTTACAGATTAGGTTTGGATGTGATTTCTGCTATGTATAGGTTTAAGGTGTATGATGTATGTAACCTGTGTTTGTGTATGATGAAAGTGACAGTGTAAATGTTTGTATGCTAATGTGGGAAAAGTTGTGATATAAGTATTGACTATGGTGGTATGCTAGGTTCTTACCCAGATTTGGGGACTTGGGTACAATTGACTGCATATCATACATATACTTTGTTCCTGGTACCTTGCTTGCACACAGTTAGAATTGGTATTCTTCCTACCCTATCTTTGGCTGGGACTTTGATTTTAACTTTGATAAGGCAAACATGACAAGTTCCCATCAAATTTCTCCTCTCTTTAACTTTGGAGGACAGGATTTCAAATACAGTAGGATGTGTCATCTGTATAGAAGCTATAAACTCCAAGGACTACAAAAAGACCTTCTCCATAAGCCACAGGCTGATGGAGAAAACTACTGGACTCATGTGTTACAAATGTCTCCAGGGAGGTTAATGTACTTTAAATGGATTAAAGTATTAATTTACTAAGGAATAGCACATTAAGTAGAAGATATTAGGAAAAATTTAGTTTGATCTGATAAAAACTATATTCACTCAACAAAGAAATAGGATGGAATTAGAGGACTTTAAAATGCAGCTCTTTTCAAGAATGGATAAGACTTAAATTTTATTGGCAGGAAAAGTGAGCTAGTGAGGGGCACAGGGAAGACACAAATGGAGTCCATGAAAATTCTGTTGTTAAGTTGGAAAGAGAGATACAGAGTGAGACAAATATTTAACTCATGTAAATTGCCTCAGGCAGCTCTGGGAGGAGAAATCTCAAGCATTCAAGTGTTAGTACTTCGTTTTTTTTAGTTCCTGCATTGTTCAGTGACTCAAGGCATGAAATGATTGAAGAGCAAACATTCAAGTACCTTGTGTTCTTTAGTCTAATGTGTTGTTTAATGATGCTAACCAAGAGATTATGAACAGAAGACCAAGGGATTAAATTTTTCATCCAGGTGACTGATTGTTTTTCCCACTTGTTACATGCTGTTTCAAAATGTAGTGGCCTATTTTGGGGTGGTGACTTTTGTTCTCCTAAAAGGAAGCCCTGGGTTTCATGACTATCACTTTATTAAGTAGAGGAGACTAGGAAACTGATAGACAGCCCCATCAATATTGCACACAGAAGAAGGAAAGGTAAATTTGCTAAGGAAGATGAGGATGCCACTTGCCAATGAGAGTAAGCGGGAATGGGAAGCTCAAGCCCAGCAACTCATTATTATGCTGATTGCAATTAAATTCATTTTCCTCCTGTACTGTTTTGGTCCACCATCAGCGAACCTTTTTTTTTTT